GAAAGTGTGCTGAGGGTACTCAACGATTCGGGCAATACATGTTGAAAAAATTCAGTTAACTGGATAAAGTGAAGTTGCTGTGCCTGAATTTGATCTCATCGTTTTTGGGCGCTAGATCCAGTCTGCTTTTTTAATTACATTTTTAAGAACTTTAACTACTGAAGTAACCCTACTTATTATAAAACGTACAGGTGCCCGTTTTGTTTGCACAAATGGTTTGTAAGCTGAGAATTACCTCACTATGATGTTGAAGAGGCACTTACTGAGATAGCGCTAATGCTCAGCAAAATGGTTTTACCGAAAAATCTGACAGACTGGGTGGTAAAATTAAAGCAGTGCGAATTGGTTGACAGAAGACGACTATGAGAGGCCATATGAACAAAGCTAGTTGGACCTCCTAAAACTTGAGGCTTCCTTAGATTTAATCACGTTAGAATCTAATTTTGATAAAAGTTTTTGTATTTATATCTTGACTCAATCAAAAAAAAAAATTCTTGTCTTAATTAATGAAGTTTGTTTCAGGACAACATCCCAAAAATTGCAGACTTTTGTCTTTTCGGCCACCCTCACGTATATTCATCCAGCTACCAAAAAGAAGCACAGAGAACGGTCTACGAATATGACCGTAGAAGAGAAAATCAGTACGTTTTCTTAAAAGCAATGAATTAATGAGTGAAAAGGTAGAAAGGGAGTATCTTCAATAAGGTAGTGTGCTTGCATAGAAAATATGGCAAGACATAGCTAGAGGATGGTATTTTTCGGGTAAAAATTCGAAGTTTTTCTATTTTTTAGCTACAAAACTCGGTGGTATCGCAAAATAGGCCATACAGCCGTGTTGGCATGTGTGAGATAATCTCAGTTGTTGATTTTAAGGGAGATTGATTGAAGTCACGGGTATACGAAGAGGCAAGAACAAAGTGATCGATATTAGCGGTGAAAGAGGTACGGCTGAGACAATCGTTGAATCGCGAATAAATTGCAAAAATCTCCTTGAGAAAGTAATTCTTTTTTTTTTTTTTTGGTATTCAATCATTTTGTGTACGTGCAGCCTGAAAATTCTGCTTTTCTCTTTTTTTAAGGATACGGCTCTCGTGTACTTGCTGAAGCGATACTCAGGACGAACTTTAGTGTTCACAAATTCCGTCGATGCCTCAAGACGATTGCATGGAATTCTGACTCAGGTTCCCTTCTTAATCAGCACTCAAAGCATTACCTGAAAAATTATTTTACATTGGTTCGTTGCTACAGCTTGTTCTTATGCGTTTTGTGCTGTGTAACAGCAGTACAAAACGCATATTGTTACGGGGTTGTCTGTTTGTGT